TTTGTTTGTTTGTTCCCATCATCACCGTGTAGGTTTTTTTTTTTTTTTTTGCGTGTAGGGTTTTTGGTTCCGATCATCACCGTCTAGATTTGTTTGTTTGTTCCCATCATAACCGTGTAGGGTTTTTCTTCTTTTTTTTTTTTTTTTTTTTTGCGTGTTGGGTTTTTGGTTCCGATCATCACCGTCTAGATTTGTTTGTTTGTTTGTTCCCATCGTCACCCTCTAGGTTTGTTTGTTTGTTTGTTCCCTTCATCACCGTCTAGGTTCGTTTGTTTGTTTGTTCCCTTCATCCCCGTCGAGGTTCGTTTCTTCCCACCATAACCGTCTAGGTTTATTTCTTCCCTTCTTCTTAGTGCAGACGCACGTTCTATAGAGAGAGGGTTTAGGGTTTAGGGTTTGGGATGAACCGATCGCGGTACTCGGTCACATGCATGCCGTGAATGCGGTCTATGATAATGAAACCCTCGGTTCTACCGAGGACACCGTCACCGTAGAGGTTGATTTCTCCCTTCTTCTTTTTGAGTGCTTTGGACCTTCGTTTTTGTCGTTCTCTCTGACATCGGGGCTCACCGCATCACTCGCCAGACGCCAACATTTTGAATCTAGCTGGAGCCCCTCTTCTTCTTCTCTGTACATTCAATTCAAAATGTTGGCGTTTGGTGAGTGGTGCGACCAGCCCCATCGTCTCCCTGTCGTTTAACCCATTCGATGGGGGGCGATGATCTGGAGTCCTGGTCCTTGGGTTCCCTGAACCTGGACAGAAAGGCATGTTTTCTGGCGATTTGGAGGCCTCCAGATGCTTTCTCCGACTGCTGGGGAAGTTGAATAGCGCGCAACCGAAGACAAAGACAAAGAAAAAAAAAACAAAGGGAAGAGAACGATTAATCGAGCGCAATCGGGGATGGACTGTGAGGGGTTGGCGCCACAGCGACTCAGGGGATGCCTTTGCGGATGCTATATCATATACGACTAAGTTCTGAGCTGTCCTTGTGCAATTGAAAGCAGGAATCTTCTTCGTTGACTGCATCAAGGCCAGGCTACGGATTTTGCCACTTTCAATTTGCAGATGCTATATCATATACGCTCAGCGGCCTCACACTGTAAGGGCGTACTCACACTGTAAGGGCCTTTAAAATGGCTGAATCGCAAAATGAGCGGCCAGAGTCCTCTCCCTTCAGAGGAGGGAGTCAATCTGGCCGCTGATTCTGCCACTGTTCGATTTTGAGGGCCTAGTGTGAGTGTGCCCTAATTGTGTTAGATAAGTGTGTAGGTGGAGGGAATTACCCCCCCGACATACTGGGTGGAGGGAATTAACCCCCCGACATACTGGGTGGAGGGAATTAACACCCCGACATACTGGGTGGAGGGAATTAACCCCCCGACATACTCGGTGGAGGGAATTAACCCCCCCGACATACTGGGTGGAGGGAATTAACACCCCGACATACTGGGTGGAGGGAATTAACCCCCCCGACATACTTGGTGGAGGGAATTAACC